GGGGGGGGGGGAAACTTTGGTCGGTTGGCTGGGTGGTTCGGTGGTGTTTGGAAGAAGGGAATCAGGATGGGTGGGGGAGGGCAAATTCTAGATAGGTAGCGCGTTATATGACACTGTACTCTGAAATTTCAATGATGAATTACTTCAACACTACTAGTCTGGGTGTAACTTGTCCCTTACTCGTGTATTTGTGAATAGTGACTCGTTCCTAATGACTCGTCCCTTACCATTCCGACATCGCGACAAGAATCTCTTCAAGACATCCAGTCTCCAGATGCCGGGACGAGACCCACCAATCCCTCGCTCGCTCGCTCGTTCGTTCGTCTTCGATCTCGTTCCGCGCTCATGACTCCAGTTACCCGAGGAATATAAGGTTAAGGCTCATCCCACTTGACAACTCATTGCATATTTTCCCCGGCACCAGCATTCCGCCAAATATATCCCATGGAAATCCTTACAACATCTCTTGTTTTAAGAAGCGGAACGAGAGATTGACTCAACCCTAACGAAGAAAACACACTTGCATCCGGCAATCAAAGGACATCTTCTCCGCTTACAGTACCTCAAACGTCATCTTTTCTCTGCCACAACAAGCTTTGTACTATGACTAGGCTTTCTGGAAAGTATAGCAGAGACCTGGTGTACGATCATGTTCTCGCTAAGCCGGAACGTTCCATTGTTCGCATGTGGCAGGGAGGTTTCCGCGAACAAGTCTAAGGATAAGCATAAGACACACCATGATCTTCCGTTAGAAACCCAGAAATAGAACTTCCCGTTGACGTTTGCTGGACTTGTTGGGTTTTACTGTTTTACTGTAGGAAATCGGGGTTCGGTGGTTGGGGTGTGACGTGTGTTTATTAAATGTTAATACGAGGGCGACACAATTTTGGTTTGCCATGCGTCGTCCCGTCGGGAAGATTGTCATGGTATGGTATATGTCCCCGCGCCGGTGCGACGGAGAAGTGGATGGAGTGTTGTGGTTCGAAGGTAGATGGTAGGTAGGTAGGTAGGTATGATGATGGAATTTGGAGGTTTGGCAGGAGGGGGATGTAGGGCTGAAGCAAGCAGGTTTGACAATTGTGGTTTGTCAAACCTGCTTTGATGCGGGGATTCTGGGGATGATTGCGTGGTTGGGGCATTGAGAATCAGGTTGTCGGGTAGGGAAACACTTGTCTTGACAAGGGAAAGGGGGGTTTTCCATCGGTTTGGGAGAGTGGTATTCATATTTATCCCGGTCCCCTTTTTGCTTTCCCGTTGGAAAAAGTTGGATATACCGGTGCTAGCTAGGTTAGCTGGTGTAAGTGGCCACTGGCCATGTAACAGAATATATCTTGTTTTTTTTCTTTTCTTTTTTGGTTGCAAAGGTTTCTTTCTGATGGAAATCAAGATTTGGTGTTGCATTCTTCCGTGTGTTACACCGGGCTTTCTATCCGAAAAATCGGGATGTGAGGGTTCGGGATTTATATGAGGTACAGTATCGGAAGGGCCGTTTCGGGGGTTCTTGGGGAATGTAGAGGGTCGGGTATTGCATCATTTTGCAGAAAGGGGAGTATAATGTTGGAAGCTTGTTTTTTGGGAGGGTGTGATGGAGGGTGTTGTTGTGAGGGGGGAGATTTGGTTGTAGGTTCTTGTATCGCTTAGCTGGGTGGAGGTATTTTGAAGTCTACTTGGGCCAGTATTACCTGAGTGCGGCCAGCAAAACTTTCAGCTCGCTTAGATACCGCATTTTCACCCCCCTACCGACTTAATTTGTACGTTATATAGCCAAAAGTGGTCTAATTAGTCATGTTTTTATAGATTTGAAAGCTAATTACATACTCTATCCATGGAAGTCATTATCTCCCTTATGATCTACTACCTTTTGGAGTGTCTTTCGCAGATTTGTAATAACCCTGTCTATCTCCCTCTGTGGTACTCTATTCTACTCCTTAATCCACATATGCTTTAGGTCCTCCTTATTCTTCGGTTATACCTTTCTTTTACGTAGTTGTTGTCGGATATAGCGCCAGATTTGCTCTATTGCATTTATATCGGGTGATTAAGTAGGGTGGAGTAACCGCCACACTAAATAGTAATATAGGATCTCCTTTATGAATTTGTTCGAATGTAGACCGGCATTATCTATTAGTAATTGCATTGTTTTACCCCTGCCTAGCTTACGTAACTCCTTATACTAGGGAATGAGCTTTGGCTTTAGATATCCTTCGCAAAGTCGGTACTAATCCACCCCCCCTTTGCCCCTGTCCCCCCTTTTATATAGGCGATTAAATAGGTACTTATCTACTTGCGCACGGCGGCCAGGTACTCTTCGTCCAAGAGAAGCCTAATACTCCTCCTTAGCCTGTTCCTAGGCATAAAACTCTTGTTCCGTAAGGTGAAGCCACTGTCGGTTCGCCTCGGCTAAATGCTCCTCTGCGGCAGTAACTTCCTGGGTTGTTTCTGTGTCGTATATGTGGTAGGGACACTAGCGCTGGCCTAGGAATATGGCACTAAAGAATTGACTATCCGAATACCCTTTTACAGTATCGCAACGTACGTCTTTGTGGTAGTATTCGTCCTTGTTTTGCTAGTACTTATCCGGCCCCTCGTTGAGCTCCATACGCAATGCCGCAGTATCCATCTATATAATCTCGCTCAAATCTAGCTGTAAAAGCCTCTTTGTGTACTTGACTCGTAGTTTTATTATCTCGTCCGACAATTTTAGCTTAATTACACCTGTTCTAAAGGAGTAACCGGCATCGCATATGACTTGTTGAAAGCTAGACTCGGACAGGTTATCTACAGGGTTTGCGTTGCCCTAAAGACCTAACTCGCATAGGTGTGTGATATTAGACTTTCGTCGGTTATCCCTGTCCTTGGTGACGTGCTCTATAATACGTTTGCGGAGAGCAGGAGTGAGTTTAATCGGGCGACATAAGCGAGGCTTATTTGCGATATATTCCGGTATTTCAAGAGTTTGCCCCCTTATATGACCCCCCCGAGTACACGCTGCCCTGTATCTAACCCGCTTCCGCATTACCCTGATCCCTGATTCCGAGATTTGTACCCCCGGGGGTGCTACGTCAACCCATCGCTTTGCCTCCTCTGCTAGCGTATTAGTATTAATGCGACTAATAATTACGGCACGCTAAAATATAGGGGTTTCTCTTCGCTTAGTCTTATATATACGCGGCTTTCAGCCTTTCGATTTTCGGTGCTTACGAGCCATTTAGAATACTAGTTGTGGTTCAATTACAAATATAAAAGTGTGTGTGGGAGCCAAAATCGTCTAATTTTGGTGTGGTTACGGCTCCGAACTAACTAAAAAAATAGTTCCGCACTCAGGTAATAGTGGCCCGAGTATTTGGAGTTGAACGGTTAAAGTGTGTGAGGTTACTAAGCAGGATGCTTGATGGGGGAAGTTACAGTTCTAATTATTAATGGAGCGCATTTAAGATGAGAAAAGATGCATGTATGATAAAATAGCGTGTAGAGAAACTAAACAACTACTCGATTAGACTTAGTAAGTGTCTGAGTTGAGCTGATTTGAATATGAGGAGGTTATTTCGTTAACTCAAGTTGAGTAGTAGATTCGACAACTTAAATGCTAATTAAGTAATAACAGCCGCTTGTCCCATTGCTTGGAAGACCTAGAGCACATTGTCAGGTTAACGACCTGTATTTTTTGAAAGCTCTCTTATGGAACGTTATGATATCATTGCGGACTTACACAGAATAGGGTGTCTAAGGTCGCGTCAGGTAGTTCTGTATCTATGAGGTTCAGGTCTTGGGAAAATAGGTTCGTGATTACGCCAGTATCTGTATTGGTGTAAAAGCTAAGTGGGGCGCGTATGAGTGTCCGCAAAGCTTCCTTGTGGAGCTTTGCTCCTGCTCTCTTCACAGAGACAACAAAGAGTGTGATACCAAGGAGAAGCAGTGCTAGTAAGCCGCATATCTGAAGTAGCGCATATAATCCGTCATAGTACATATATGAGTGCGTTGGATGTTCTGATGGGATGTCGTCGGACCATTATTTGAGCCCTACAGCAAGCTGCATTAGTCATGAACCTGTAGTCTTTCTTGGAAGTTGAACCAGTATGAGAATTGGTATTAAGTGATCGGCACTACTCATAAATCGTCGGAAAATTAGTGAGGAATCCCCAAAGCGCAGCAAAAAACAGGGAACACATCGCAGGAATCAAGCCCATGCTCTTGACGTAGTGCTTGTATACCGTTTTGTCGCCAACCTGTCGCGATATATCCGAATGAGGTACAATAGATGCAATATTGGTTACCGTCATGGTGAGACGCGATGATGACGATTCGCTCTTCAAATCCGCCTCTTCAGATGAAGCATCGATATTGGCAGATTCTCCCAATCTCAGGCGCTGGACGTACCCCTGACTAGCAATTAGTTCATCGTAACTGCCCTGTTCAACGATTGTGCCATCCCCAAGTGTTATTATGTAGTCCGCTGAAGGTAAGTGTCTAATGCTATGAGTACATAGCAGAACTGTAGAGCCTCGCCGTCTCAGCAATCCACCCGGTGCATACACCTGACGAAAGACTTGCTTCTCGGTATCCGCATCCAAGCCACTAAACACATCATCTAACACAAGCACATCTGCCTGCAGATATAGAGCTCGTGCAAGAGAGACACGTTGTTTTTGGCCACCAGATAAAGAAATACCGTCAGATCCCACATTGGTTTCATCACCTGCTGGAAGCACGGAAAGGTCGAACTCAAGTGCCGTGGCCTTGATGACTTCGGCATACTTCTCTTCGTTAAAAGGGCAGAATCCTACAATATTGTCCCTGATCGAACCGTTTGACAGAAACGCAGATTGATCACAGAAACCGATGTGGGGAAAACTGCTGCTTTGGTCCATGTGCCCTTCATGGAAAGGAATCTCTCCAAGTAATGCTTTACATAAGGTAGACTTCCCGAGCCAATTGACCCCACGACCATAGTGAGCGAAGCCTTGGATATTCGAGTGTTTATTCTCTGAAGAACGAACTTGCCTGCTTCCCAACCGAAGCATCCATTCTCAATCATAAAAGCATATGACAGGTTCTTTACAAGGAGTGGAGAAGCAACTGCTTCCTTCTCCAAATTCGGCCTCCTATCCCCATTTACCTGGCGAAAGTTGTGGCGATCTCCGGACTCTAAGAAAGCCTGGATTCGGCCCAGGCAGGCTAGTCCTGAGATGATTTCAGGAGTAGATTGAAAGATTTGGCACAATGGTTTAGTAAGAAGCGTCAAAAAAGACAGAATTGTAAACACTTTTGCAACATCGAAAGATCGCTGACTAAAGGCGAAGGTTATTGGCGGACCTATCAACAGTGGAATGTAACCAAGCAGGGCCGCAATAATAAAAATCTTGCGAATTCGAGCTCCAGCTGCCAATCCCTTGACCCGAAGCGATTGAACGTAGTCACTGACGGCAGTAGCCAGACCCGATATCTTCAGATTCTTCATCCCGGCGATGACTGAAGCGGTCAGCCCGACACGTTCTTGGACTCCCGTCATCCAAGCCCTCTGAGAATCACCAGTGAAGTTGGTAAGGATTGCTAGACCAGTAAAGCAAACTATGACGAGAACAATCGGGGCGACGAAAACCACACCTAAGCGAATGTGCAGCATCCATGCAGCAAGAGCTACCTGGATTAAAGCTGCACAGACTTCATGAAGGGTCCTAAAGCCCATTCAGATCCGCTCCATGTCGGTGCTCATCAGAGTCAACGCAGCGCTATCATCTCCAGTCCCGATACAAGAAGCTTTTGTGGCCTTAATGTACGTCTCGGTAACTAGGATGGATCTTGCCATAGTACGCGTTCGGTGGTGGAGGTACCTGTGATCTCGCATCAGTATTGGTTTTTGTTTGTAACAACACTTTTGCAGATTGTGTTGTACCAATAAAGGCTCTGGAAAGAGCAATTCCTGAGTAGATCAAGATGCTGGCGCCTATGAAGCCATATCCGACATTGGTATCACGGTTGGGGTCGGCCAAGTAATTCAGCAGCCTTTCGATGAAAAAGGGCTGACAAAATGTGAATCCAATGAGTGCCAACCGAAAAGGTATGGGAACCAAAAGAGAGACTTTTAGGGTGCGTGTCAGCACCTTCACAAGACCAAAGTTGTCACCTTTCAATTCGGAATAATCCATGTTTGCGGAAAATCTGTCGTGGAGCGATATGGCGTCGAAAGAGTTATCAAGTGGGTAGAGATCCTCAACCGTCATGATTTGCCTGTAGCCCACAAGAAACATTTTGTTAAGCCAGAAGTAGACGCCGAGGGAGAAAATGCCGCTCGTCTCCTCTGGGCTGTGCTCTTTCTTGTCCCAGCTTACCCATCTGGACTTTTGCTGAGCTTCCAGTAGCAATATCACAACCTTCAATGCCACGGCAGCAGTGAAGACAGTTGCGAAGGTGTGCTGAGGTCTGTCGTCCGATGATAGAAACAATGTCCTTGCCTACACTACCTCCAGGAGAAGTGTCAGGAACAGATAGCTGCTCAGTATCACCGAAGGTCTTGAGCTTCGATTGTGATCCATGAAACTTAAAGTAACCATGAAGAAGGCTACCGTAAGCTTGAGAGCTGAGGCAGTTACAAACATGCTCTTGCTCTGAAAAGGCCCAGTGGTAGCTAAGACCAGGAGCGAGAGCTCAAGAACGATATATATTGTTATGGCACACTACAAGATGGCATTTAGCATGTCGACGATACCCTGTACTGCTAATAGGCAGAGAGTGAACTTACCAATTTGATGAACCGGAACGTTGGGGCATTTACCACAGTGGGCTTCTTGAGTCTTGAGAGTGTCCGACATAATGATGTTACGATGAACAAGACGGACGGTATAATGGAGAAAAACAGCTGTTCAAACTGTATGTTGAAGTCAAATCGCTCGAGATTCTGTTGGAACAGGTCGTGCTCCCCAGAAAAGGTCATGTTAGGGGTTTGATCAGCTATGTATTTCAAGGGCCCAAATTTGTCTCCGGAATATCAATTGTTCTAGAAGATTTCCAGTCGAGAATTGGAATTCTTGTGACAGAAGAATATGACCAAGTAGCACGAAGAAATTAAATCCAATGGATTGCTGTAAAGTATGTGAGTAAAGACGATAATTAGGGTGGAGGCGTGGGGCAGCTGGAAGCGGCTCTAACATCGAATTGTTGTGGCAAGAAGACAAGTTGAGGCGAGAGCTTCCACTCGTGGGAGGTGGTCTTACCGTGCGTACGTACCTCAAGGCACTCATTTCAAGGATACTATGTTGGTATTATGTTGGTGGTGTATGTAATCATGGGGAAGGGGAGAGCGGGGAGAAAAAAGACGCCGATTTGAGGCACAGGGCCACCTCAACTAACACCACCACTACCTAGCATTTAAAATGTACACAAAACCTATCTCAATAGATTTAAAGAACGTCGGGACCGCGACAGACAAATAATGCATTATTGAACATTATTCTACTATTTAATTTGTAAGTGTTATACCTCCGTAATGAAAAGTTATTATTTAGACGTGGTGTTAGGTGGGACGGCCTGTGCCTCAAATCGGCGTCTTTTTCTCCCCCTGAGAGTCCTGTTTCTGTTCCTTGTTAAGTTACGTTACGTACTGGCACTGCAATAGTGGGGATTATACAAGGCCTCTACGGCTGATGCCTGAGCCCCAAACAGTAGAAATTATTCAGGACCCAAATGCATTCTACGTCAATCGTACCCCCTGTCAAAGCATCAGCGCTTCTCGATTGGTTTTGACGGTGCAAGTATCTCAGTAAGTAGGAATTTGATGTAGAACGTGGAAAAAGAACAAAAGGAATGAGCATTGAAATGGCAAAAATACTACCTATCGTAGAAGCAAGAAACGGTTATTTCTTTCGAACGGGTGGGGACTGTGGGTAATTGTACGCCCTCAACTGCCAATTGGGAGAAAGCTTGTCGAAGCTTGGTTTATCAGGGATGTGGTGGGGATTTTATTAAGAAGTGTGAGATCCGGTGGCTAGTTAGTATATTACGTAGTTTGTGTAAATCAGAGTGAGCTCTACTTGAGATGTATGTTCAATGTGTACTATGTTATTGATTCCGAGGATTGATAAAGGAAGCTGTTGGACATATTTGATATTCACTCGCTACCCACTAGTTCTAGCGTCATTCCAGGGTATTTAATACCAACCCAACTTTACAACTTTACAAATTAACGGGTTCTCCCCTTTCTATCGAACAACATAAGCCATAGTTAGATATCTTGACGTAACTTGTTCAGAGAGGAAATATGCATCTGAAAATCTTGCCATTTCCAGTCTCCTCTTCAGGTTAGCTTTGAAAAATGAATTGCTTTGAAGTCTTTGCGGTCTATAGTTCAGTTGAGCATAACATACATAGTACGACCTGACCGCGTTCGGTAGTATTGTGCACGAAATATATATTCGAATGCGAGTGAGTAAAGAAGGTTTAAGCTCTTACAGTACCGTTACATATAAAAGTGAGATGGTTAATATACAATAAACTTGTGTTATTGGCCATCTCCGACAGACTCCATTGGCGCAAGTTTTGAGCTATTAACACTATGTTATTTCTCTCGTTTTAATCTCGCTTGCTTATGTAGCTACGAGATGTCACTGCTCTATTCAGTGTCAAAACTACCTCGAGCAAATTTCCTCTTTCAGATATATCACGCACTTATATTCAAGAATCATTCCCTTCTATAATGAAAACTGTTTGTATTCTCAACACATTCTAGATACCCTGAACTCCCGTCTATACCTATATCTTCGATGACACGTAGGCCAATTGAAAGTGGCAGAAGATAATTAAACTCTATCTCGTGAAAATTCCAAGCAAGTTTATGATATCAAGACTGCTGAACCCCAAAATGCCTCCCAAGTTCTCAAATAACTCCAAAAAACTCCAGAGATGCGAATTTTCCTCTCTCAAAATATCAGTTTACGCCATCTAGCACCTTCGCTCCAATTTCCCCCGCCCAAAGAAAATACCGAAACCTCCTTCAGTCGTAAACTTTACTCGCTTTTAGTTCTCGGCTCCCTCAGCATAAAGCACTCAACAAATTCCTCAGCATCATCATCAGGCGACGGAAGCACCAACCTCCCCTTCTCTTCAAACCCCATTTTCTCATACAAACTCTTCCCCTTAGGACTCGCCTCCAAATAACTCTCCAATCCCGCTTCATCCGCCTTCTCCAAACCCCACTTCAACAACATACTCGCCGCCCCCTTTCCTTGCATCTCAGGCAGCGTAGCGAGAATTTCCAAATACCAATGTCTGCGCTCCCCCATATTCGCCCTCCTATTCTCGAACAAAGTGCCAAAGAAATGATTTGCTAACTCAGTATTGGAAAATTCCGGCCATTCTGGGAGCTCCTCGCGTCTTGGGAGAGGAGTTGAGGTAGGTGCATTCCATTTTGCGTACGCGACAGGTGACTTTTTGGGGTCTGAAGTGGAGTAGATGCAGATAAAGTGCCATTCTGGGTTGCCCATTTCTTCGAGGATAGAGTCGTACCACCAGTTGTATGATGATGGTCCCATTCGAGGGAAGATTGCGCGAGATATGGGTTCGTCTTTAAAGGCTGCTAGGTAGATGTCTGTGAGAATTGGTGCATCTCCGAAAGTTGCTGGTCTTAACGCGAAAGCCATGTTTCAATCTGGCAATGATGTGTGTGATTTAGACTTTTTGTTGGTGATGATGTCTTGGGGATAGTGGGAGGAGATAATTCTGGCTATTGAGATGGCTCCTGAATGAGGATTGTGATGAGGAAGTTCTATCATGGTGCTTTAAGTATGAAGTTCGCTCTATCTTATCGAAAGCAAACGGGAAGATTCACTCAATGGAGTTGAGTTTCACATGAATCGGAGTTCGGGATTGGTGATCTCGCCAATAGGAGTTCAGATAGGGGGAGGGATTTACTGTGCTCACAGCATGAGTCAGTACTGTCATGTAAGCAACGCATAGTAATCCGATTTCTTGTCAACATCTAATCCAGCATCCAGCAACACAATTCTCATACAATGACTGTTTCCGAAAAGAAAACTGAAATGAAGTGCCTTGGCGTAAGCGCTTGCTAGGAAGTTGCCGACTGATGAACCTGAAGTGCGGGGTTCCTTCACTTTCCGGATAAAATCCATTTCCTTTCTCGCTACTTCACACACACGATGTTATTAGGCTCAAGGAAAAATACTCTCCCATGGCCAACCTGCGTCACACGTTCGAGGTTGAGTACACGTTTCTTTATTTTTTTATTTTCTTCTCTCTGTTTGCAAAATACGTTTGGTGCGAAACTATTCTCAGTTGGTAGAACACCGTTCAGGCCGTCTTCATTTTCACAATAGAAGCAAAAAGAACTTGCAAAAATGAAAGTTCCGCCATTATTTCTTATTATGTCTTTAGCAATGGCTGCTCTCCGTGACAATCCTCCACCGACGAAGCAGATTTTTGATCCTCGATTGCCAATGTATCTTGGTGAAGTTTTCTGGCCTCCAACGATGACTTTCCTCGCGTTTTTATCACCGCCTGATTCATCTCAGCATACTTCACTGACATATGTGAGGATTGTTCTCCTTTGAAGTCATCTAAATCTGCTCAGAAATATGTAGCTAATCACCCTAAAAGTGGTGCTGGTCAGCAATCGACATAACAAACAACATCCTCTTCAACCTCGGCGAAATCAGCAACCTCCAAATGGTAGACTACTTTTCCAAACATGCCTATATCGAACGCGAAGGAAAGAGGTGGGCAGATTGCGTGATCACCCCCGAAGCAGGAAGAATGGGTGTCTGTGAAGGGGTGAAGGATTGGGATTGCATTGGAGGGCAGAGATTTTCAGGACCTGGAACAAGGAAGTGGAGTTGTTTTGTCAACGATCTTGTTACCGCTATGGAGGAATATGAAGCGAAAGTAGAAGCAATGAAGCATGTTGGGCTGCTAGGTGGGAATGCCACTGAGGCTGGGAATAACGAGGATGGATTGACGAGTTCTGGTGGGAGCACTGTGGCTGCTCCGAAGACTGAAGCTACCGGGACAATGCCCAGCAGCGAGATTATAGGTGGCTTTACAGCTAGTGCGATATGAAAATAACCCTAAGCATAAAATATGTATGGATTTGATTCAGGTTCTATGGCAATTTATGTACACCAAGAGAATATACACAAAACTTAAAGGAATAAACTAGATCTAGCCACAATTCTGACCAACACTGTTAAACAGTTCGTATCAGATCTTCTACTGAGATCAGACTGCTTTCGCCGCCATGGCAGCAGCATGATCCTGTACCTTACAAAATTGTCAGACACCCATAATCAGAGGACGGGGTAAACTTACATATGTTTTGTACATATCGGTCCCGTAGTAAATAGAGTTCCCATCATTATGAGTTTGACCCCACGAAAAGGAATCCCCATATTGCCAATACATGTCACCAGCAGTCCCACTATCCAAGACAGCCTGTTCCCAAGTCAGGATGCTCGGTTTCGTCGAGCTCCCGTACTCCTCCAAAATAAATGGCTTCCCAAGAGCTTTGGCAGCAGCCGCATGTGCATCAATCCAGGGTTTTCCAAAACTGTCTTGTTCTCCCCAGGATTCGGGGTACAAATGTGCTGTGCCGAAGTCAATCGTTGAGATCTTGAGATTCTCAACCCAGTCGATGCCTTCGCCAGGCCCCCAAGGGTAGGAAGTACCCCCTGCTATTCCAAACCCTTCATCGCCAGTAGTGACCATGTGCTTGGAATCGAGCGACTTGATATAAGCCGAGGTGGTCTTGATCCAATTGGTGAGAACGCTAGTGGGGCATCCATTGCATCTTGGTTCATTCGCAAGTTCCCATGCGAAGACAGTTGGACTATTCTTGTATCTTGCTACAACTGTAGAAATATATTTCTGATACTGGGATTGTGCCGCAGCGGACGCATACCACTCTGTTCGGTTCGTAGAAGAAAGACCATAGTATTTGTTGTAAGCAGGAATTCCACCGTAATCAGCCCAGTTGTTGACAAAGTTGATGATGAGCGACAAGCCGTGTTTTCCTGCTGACTCAACGACATAGTCAAGACGTTGCAGACCTTCTGGGCCTGTATTGATAGTTGGAGCAGAACCCTGGACAAAGGATTGGAACCAAACAGTTCCAGCACCGGGAATGGTATTGACATCGTTAAATCCCCAGACACGGAGAACTTTCAGACCAGTCTAGGATTGGGTATTAATCTCCTGCATAGAGAAACGAGCAGAAGTTGAGACATACCGAGGCCAAATGACTAAAGACAAGATCAACATCACTGTTGCTGGTAAAAAATCCAATCCAGTAGGAGTTCGTGCCCATGAAGTACTGCGACTTTCCGTTTATATTGAAAACATTGCCATCAGCTTTAGCGAAGCTCGTGATACTAGTAGCGGGAGGAACAGGCGTAGTTGGTACTGGAGACCCGCTGGTGGTGGTGGTCGGTTTCGCTGTGACAGTTGCTAAATGACACTTAGTCAAACAAACGTGATAGATTAGCCGAAGAAACATACTAGCCCCTGGTACACATTGGGAATACCATTCATTTTGCTTCAAGCAATAGAAACCCGAAGCACAGCTACTATCTCCGCTCCAATTGACACCTCCGCCTATATTCATTAGCAAAAGTTCTACCTCCTTCAGGTACAAAGCTTACATTGGGCATAAGCGGGAAGTGATGCTTTTACCACGGCGAAAGCACTTGAGATAGACAACAAAATAGAGAGCTTCATTGTGAACTAGAATGCGGATGATCAAAAATCAAACAAAAGTTATTTCATGATATCAACGATATAGATAAATATAAAAGAAAGTTTCAGAAACAGCCAAGAACATTGCAATGAAAGGAACGTCGGCCCGTCGCATCCAAGTACTACAGTATGGCACCGGAAAAATTCGTCCATTGCACATTACAACCCCAAATCACTTGATCTGAAATATATACTAGTTGAACGTGGTCTATATGGTGGAAATCATTGTCCCGGAAATTCCCAACTCATAGATTTTGTTGGATATCATTGATGAGGATATCTGCTTGAGTTGCGGCACGTTGATCTCATAAAATAAGAAATAGAACCAATGAAATTGCTGTGAATTTTGTAACGAACATGAGGGGCAAGGAGACTCCTCGGCATTGCAAGACGAGTTTCCGTGACGGGGTCGGATAATCTTTCACTTGCATTCTCAATATCTTGAGCTGCCACGAAAAAATATGGCGTGTTAGTGGCGAAGCTATCATGTTTTTCAGGACGCATTTTTGAAGGGGTTGAGGTCCACGGGTGAAAGAGGGGATGCAGGAGCAATCACGTGGCAATCTCGTGTCACAAAATTGCACGTGTTTGTTGGTCGGAGATAACTTCACTCGTGTATTCGGATTTACAATTGAACCAGCCCCGCATGGTAATACGTCATGGAAATCAAAGAGCTGAGAGGATTTGTTTGTCTGTTCAATTTTACTCGGAGAAGAGACTGGTCATCTGTGCTTAACAGTACTACATACATTTCATTCTGATAACTTATCCATCAAAATGGCGCCAACGGGATTGGCGATAATAATTGGAGCTGGACCTAATACAGTGAGTGCCACTCATCATCTTATAGAAATTCTAGCGATTGTCGAGATTTCTGTTGTACAAAAATCGTCCATCTCCTTCATATGTTCTGAAACACAGTGATTTGAGATAAGCGAATCGTTATTGACACTGTATCAGGGTACCGGAATAGCTCGCATCCTATCCCACCCCTCACACGGAAACATGGCCGTAGCCCTTCTCGCACGCAATCCGGAGAACCTCAAATCCGTTCAACAAAACCTATCAAAAACCGCTCCAGGGAGCGTCGTAGAATCATTCCCTTCCGACACATCACCAACTCAGCTACATTCCGCCTTCCAATCCATCCGAGAACACAACTCATTCAAGGATCTCAAACTCAAGGTGGCCATCTACTCCGTCAAACACTCTAGCAAGAAACCCTTCATGTCCGAAACATTCGAGGACTTCACAACAAGCATAGAGCAATACGTCGGCGGCGCCTTCGCATTCTCACAAGAGGCACTAAAACTACTCTTCGAACACCACGGCGAGGCGCCACTTTCCGAGACTGGAACGAAAAAAGGAACGATCATCTTTACTGGTACATTAGGAGCTCTGAGATGCAGTGCAGAGTATGCCTCATATGGAGCGGGTCGAGCAAGTGTTAGGCAATTGGCTCAAACACTGGCGAGGGAAATGAGCGCTAAGGGCGTGCATGTTGTTCATACGATTGCTAATGGTGCTATTGAGGATAAAGATGGTGAAGATCAGAGAATCGGGAAAAAGATGAGTGCGGATGCTGTGGGGAAGACGTATCTCTGGCTTGCTGAGCAGGGTCCGGAATTGTGGACTCATGAGCTAGATATGAGACCTGCTGCTGAGAAGTTTTAACTTTCAAAATTGTTCTGCCTACAGGGCAATTTCTAGAATTTGACTATGAATCTAGTTAAGCTAGCTACTGTCCTACTTAAAATTCGTCTAGTGTTTCTCTTAGACTATGTTTCTCCCTACCCGAAGTCTTCTAAAAAGCTAGATTAACTAAAATCGTCTTAAAGCTAAATTTCAATTCCGTTCCTCTAATATCTAAAAGAAATCCAGTCGCAATAGCACCCCACCTAATATCTCATGTACCCAGCTCAACTCAACTCAAGGTGTCACATGAGTAGGTATTTTGTAAAGCATGGCTTACTTGCACAATCCAAATCCTTCCAAGTCAGCAGATGATAACTCAAAAAGCTCACTGGATTTTGTTACTTCGTCCCCCCTACATACACGCTAACCACCAAACACCTAACGTTAATTTTCAGGTTCCAGCCCAAAAACTTGCAAACCTCAACCCTAATTCCTCAAACCTCAAGTCTTTAACCTCACCCTATCCCATCCCAAAAAAAGACCCCCCTAAAGCCTACTCCCCAAATTAACATGCACAGCCTTAACCTGCGTATATCCCGCCAACCCCGCCTCGCCCAACTCCCTCCCAATACCACTCTGCTTCACACCCCCAAACGGAATCCGATAATCCGAATCATTACTACTATTAACCCATACCATGCCCGCCTCGATCCTCTTCGCAACCCGATGAGCCCTCGTCAAATCTTGGGTGAAGACCGCACTCCCAAGGCCGTAAGTCGTATCATTCGCCATCTCCAGGGCCTCATCCTCGGTTCGGAACGTCGCAATGACGACGAATGGTCCAAAGACTTCCTCGCGGTAGATTTCCATGCTAGGTTTGACATTGGTGAAGATGGTGGGCGTGATAAAGAAGCCTCTTCCATCTGTGGGGCCTGAGGAGGCCTCTCCGCCTGAAACGAGGGTTGCGCCTTCGTCTTTACCGGCGGTTACGAAGGAGAGGACTCGTTCGTGTTGGGCTTTGGTTACTTGGGGGCCTTGGAAGGTGGTTGGGGCGAAGGGGTCGCCGACTACGGAGACTTGTTTGACTTGGGCTTTGAAGGCGGAGACAAAGGAGTCATAGATTGATTCTTGGACTAGAATACGAGATGTTGCGGTGCATATTTGGCCCTGGTTGGACATAATTCCTGGTTGAAGTTAGTACCCGTAGAAGTTTTGAAAGCAGAATAATGGTAAGGGGGTTGAAAATTGAAATCTGAAAGCAGAAAGTGAAATCCCGTCAAAAAACCTACCGATATGCGCCCACTTGACAGCCTGCTCCAACTCCGCATCCTCAAAAACAATCAACGGACTCTTCCCTCCCGTCTCCAGCGTAATATTCTTCATATTCACCGCCGCCATCTTCATAATCTCCTTTCCAGTCCCAGTACTGCCCGTGAAAGCAACTTTGTCAATCCCCAAATGCGTAGCAATAGCCGCGCCCGCCTCTCTTCCATGCCCATTCAAAATATTCACCACACCCGGTGGGAAGCCCGCTTCCTTAATCAGGTTTGCTAGATAGAGAATACTGAGGGGAGTCTGTTCCGCAGCCTTAATCACAACCGTATTCCCACACGCCAAGGCAGGACCCAATTTCCACGCCGCCATCGCGAGGGGATAGTTCCAGGGGATGATTTGTCCACATACACCAACGGGTTCCCTGATCGTGTAGGCGAATTTATTGGGTCCGGTATCAATCGTTTGGCCGTGAATTTTGTCTGCATATCCACCATAGTATCGCAAACAACCCTTAACTTCCGCTACATCTCCATCCAAAGAATCATTATAAGGCTTCCCATTATCCCAAGTCTCAATCGTGGCCAGTGTTTCGGCGTGCTTAGCAACCAAGTCGGAGAGTGTGATTAGCATATCCCCTCGCTCGGTAGGCGATATATCGCGCCATGCGGGGTCCTTGAGGGCTTTTCGGGCAGCTGCAACTGCGGTGTCGACATCTTCGGCGGTTGCTGCGTAGACAGATGCAATCTCACTTTCATCCCTAAAAGCGTGTCAGACACCGCCATAATAGGAGGAAACAATAGCCATACGTAGGATTAATACTCGTAATCTTGGCCCCATGACTACTCTTCACCCACTCATTATTGATGAACAACCCCGTAGGCTGACTATACTTCCTCCCATTGGGAGCCGTAAGTTCCACGCTCAGATCCCCCATCTTATACGTCGTGCTAGCGAACGATCTGCACTGGAACCTTCCAAATCGGGATCCCCTCACAGGCGTGCAGGTCTTGGAATGGTATGCAGCTGGTATATGTAGGCAAGGTGCGGATGTCTGCCGGAGGGATAGCTGTTTCCAGATAATTCTTCTGACTTGAGCAGGCAAGGGCAGAAGAGCTTGGTACATTTGAAAAGGAAAGAGGGGAAGGTAAAGGACGACTTGTCCGTCCTTAATAGAGAGTTGATATCAAGGGTGGCGTGCGGTAGTGCTGGTAGCAATTGCGGTTGTGTAAGTATGCGGGGTTGTGAGAAGGCGTCGACAATTGGTCTGGATAGCTGCTTGTAGTAGACAAGCTTCGGAACCTGGAAAGGATGTCCTAAATAGGCTAAGCGTGACGAAGCTCCCCTCCATCCGAAAGTCAATGAGGGAAGGAATCAGGTACGGAAGGTTACGCGATTTGAAGAATGTGATACAAATTATTCATCGGGTCATGTAATCGTACGGATGGTGTTTAACCACGTGCTGTAGTTGGAACTCTCTACCTAGGCACTGCCTGGGCTCTCGGTAGCTTGGGAAGTCCTCTCGCTACCCCTCTATCACGTGACACAAAAAGGCCGATGTAAATAATCATGACGAAGGGGACTCAAGGTTCTCAAGTCATTTACTTTGGTCAGGAGGTTTTCCAGACTCGATGAAATAGCAAGGTCCAAATTCAAACCCAGGAAAGACAAAGCATATGGCAACCTACACGACACAACACCGCAGTCATGAAGAAACTCCCTGAAACCATAGAACGATTTAGCAACTCAAGTCTCTAAGGAAACAATGAACCCCTTCAAGACATAACGGCCAGAACCTCAACCCCACAAACATATCGCAGCACATAATTTCACAATCTCAAACTGTTTATATGCACCCATAAGCTAAAAGCCATAGCAAAAAGAAGTCTCTGATATTTATATAATCTCACACCCAGACCAGCTATATAAAACCCCCATTCCATTCCATTCCATACCATACATTCCAGCCCTCTATGCATAAACTTTCCTCCCAAATCTGCATTCATTCTATACTGATCCCCCAATACAAACACAATACACAGGTATATACTCAAACTGTCTTCTTCATACAGCCCGAGAATGCCCCTCCCCCACTCCCACCGACAAGCAAGAACACAAAACAAAAAAAAACAAGGGAGGAGTATAATCCCAAAAACACCAAATGCACCCAACCACCAACAACTAATGCTCAGAGCAACACACCAAAAAAAGCAGCACAAAAAAGCAAAAAGAATTCTAACATGACCAAAAGGCCACATAAGCACCGCCCCCATCCACTCCCACTAAACCCAAAAATCACCACAAGCCGAAAACTCCTCTTAAGAATCCCCCAAGCCCACTCCAAGGCACCCACCCCCCAGGAAAGATAGAAAGCTCAAATGATCAAAAAATATAAAAAATATAAAAAATATAACCCCTCTGCTCAAACCATCGCCCCCTGCCTTACAAAAGAGAACAACTCCCGCTGAACCGCCTCGCAACCAAAAAACAAAAGAACCCCTGCCATAACGCAAGGATGAACACAACCTCTCTCCCCAAGTTCCACAACAAAAGAAAACTCGAAGAAAATAAATGATTTATGCACCAACTCCTCAAGGGTATCCGCAAAAGAAGAGAGATATTGACGTTGAACGAAAAAAGCCTCCGTAAGAGGTCAAGCGAGAGGAGAGATGAACATATGCTTCATTTTGAATAACACATCAAGGAAAAAAGAAGCCTCATAGTGTATGTGGTTGCCGAGCCTCATTCTTTGCTCGCTAGCGAACTTTTGGGGGAAGTGTCTAATATATTAACGAAGAACGACGATGGTATATAATGGAATAGATATATGCACAAAGATTGTGCCATTATTATATATTACACAAAAGAGACAGATGATCTTTTCTTCTACAAGATCATGGTCGTGAGGTGTCTTCAAATTCTTCGATGTTGCAGGATGAAAGCTGTCGGCAAAGGAGATCGTCTTGATGGAGATATCAACGGCGTGAATTATCTGGTTGCCACGGTCGGTCGAATGGTCCTGGTGGACGAGGATAGGGCTCAAAGGTCGACTGCGGACCAGATGTTGCAGCTGGCTGGGTCGACGCAGCCGCCTGGGTCGTAGCTGGGGCCTCCATTCGTAAAGGCGGCAGACTCTGCGGTCCTTGAGGTGGGCCAGGAGCATGAGAAGGAGCATTGACTGGCGGAAGAGACGCTGGAGCTAGAGGATGACCAGTAGTATAAGGCATGCTAGCGAATTCCCCTTGACCGTCTATCCTTCTTCTTCTCGGTGCCCTTTCCGCCAACGATGGAGGAGGTTGTGCGCCGAAGCCAGAAGGCGCCCCTGGATTTTGACGAGGTGTAGAAAACGACGAATTTCCGCGCATGGAATTCGGACTCGGTGGGCCCTGCATCGCAAGATGTCGCAGATCCGAAGACCTGAATACCGCGTCACGAAACCTATCTCTTTCACTTCGATAAAAATCTCTTTCCTGCTCCACTTCGTGCAATCTTCTTTCCAACTCTCTAGTTTCCTTTTGAAGTGTTTCAATGCTCGTCGATGCCTCCCTCTCTTTCTCTTTTCTTCGTTGTCGAAATCGCGCTGATGCTCCTGCGTTGCGCGCGCGCTTCTCGTCAGCCAACCGTGACGCTTGATGCACATCCACAGGCACCTGATACTGCCCAGAAGATGTAGTAATTGTCAAGACTTGAATGGGATCGCTCGCTGACGTTTGTCTTGAGCTGCCAGCATTGGTGGAGTTGAGGGAGCTTCCTCCCCCTGGAGTCTGGGGATCTGGAGCGCTGTACGGACCTTCTTGAGATCCTTGATATTGCATTCCTTGCATTCCACCACCAGATGTATTCTGCATTGAAGGTGCAAAGGACCCGGGAAAATACGATGACGATGACGATGTAGGCGCCGCTGGCGCTTGTACTCCCTGACCACCTTTGTGGTAAAGAAAAGAGGCTGGAGATGTTTGGGCTGATGATGGATTTTGAGAAGACACAGAGATACTGGGACTCGCGCTTTGAGATAATGGAGCTTGCCCAGAAGCAGGCATACTAGTACGCCGATCAATTACTGGCGCTGATGTTGAAGGAAAGCCATAATGCTGTTGATATCGGGTAGCAGGATTGGGTACTGGAGGCGATTCCAGTGGAGGATTTCCTTCATTTCTCGCGCTCCTGGGTGGCAAGAAAGGTGATATCTGAGCGTCAATGGTTGTCATGGCTCTGCCACGCCCAGAACTAATCGCACGGGATGGTGATCTAGGTGTGAGAATCCTTCGCTGATGAGCGTAAGGTGCATTGTAGCTTTCACCTGCTGGCGGAGTGCTCACCGAAGTTTGTAGACTCGGGAATGATGTTGTTGGAGTAGTTGTAGAGGCACTAGGTCCAAGTTGAGAAATACTCCCAACAGATTGAGGGGACTCAGCAATAGTAGAACGGCGATTCGTTTGTCTACTGCTTTCTGGTCCTGAGGGATTCAGAATTGAATGGACTCCTAGATCTCGTGAAGGTCCCAAGCTTCGCCAATCATCCGCTACTGGTGTCGGTAGATTTTGTCGGACTCTATCAGATGATGGTTGCAACTGAAATGCTCGGCTATCTGATAGTAATCGATGCCTCTCTCCATGTCCTCCCATACCCCGTGGATCATCTCGAGTCTGAACAGCGGGTAAAACTATTCTCTGACCATCGGAAGGTGACCGAGATGCAGGACGAGACGCAGAAGGTCTCCGCGACATCGAGTCCTGATCCTCCAACCCTTGATGGTCCCGAGGACCGGGACATTGACGTTTCCCACTCCCCTCCCAACTCTGCTGGTAGCTGTGAAGCTTATGTACAAAGTCAGCGAGTCTTTTCTCCAGAATCTCTGGAGACTGAATTCCCGGAAACCGCGCTAGTTTTGGTGGGGTTTGCGGTCTCTCAGTATAAGCAGGAAATGATGGGTTTCCGCGCAACGGGCGGCTCTGAATATCTTGAACAGCCAGTGCGAATTGAGTGTTGGGCGTGCCCAATAAGGCCTCCCAATAAGCGGTCAATGGTCAGCGCTACGAGCTATTTCGAGAAGGGTGGCTTTGTGGTTTTGCTGCAATTGTTCTTGTGGTCAGTTGACAAGCGAAAAGCACCGTTCTGGGTGGTTTGCGAGTGGCTTTGATGAAGGATGTTTGTTTCTTCCTGTGCGGTGAGTTGTTTTGGGCAGGGATATTGAGCAGATGAAATGGGAAGTTGATCAAGTCTGGTCAGGATGGCCGATGCAGCGTTCGTTGTTCGGTATCGAAATGGACAGGTGATCGCGGAGACTCGCTGGCTGTCAGTCTCTGCTGCCACTGCGCATGCGAGGAATATAACCACTTGCTGCCGGTGAAGAAGGATGGGTGTAGTGGTGCAGTGCAGGATGGAGAAGGTGGGGGAGAGGAGCTCAGTGCAGTGCAGTGCAGTGCAGGTGGAAAGCGAAAGCAGGCGGGCCACTCAGCAGCAACAGCACCAACACGGCAGCGCGAGTGGTTGGAAATGAGGATTTAAGTAAGTCGTCAGGACCAAGAAGAGAAAGTTGAATGGCCGAGTTTGCTGTGTTTCTACCGGTCGAGGCAATGTCTGAATCAGCGCCTCCGACACAGAAAAGAGGCGGATGTGATGTTTGTTCGTTCGTTGGATGACGCTTCTAGCTCTACGAGTTCGCAGCAACGGCAACAGCTTTCTCATGCAGTTAGTTACCTCTGGCATCGGGGAGCCCCAAGCTTTTGGACCTTTGAAGTGTCCATTTGCGAGTCCCACCAATTTGCCCACAGACCTTGGAGGAGCCAGGGGGGAGTCCTTTGCCGTGGCAGAGCAAGCATCAGCGATATTTTTCGCCCATGGTGATCAACCTTCGCAATAGAACATGGCAGGGCCCCCAGAGTTGGGCCACAACGGGTCAGGACCCACGCCACGGCCCCTGGACGCAACGGTTTGAAGCCTGAAAGGAGCCTGGACGCTGGCTAACCTAAAGGGTGTATGCCCTGGCCCTGGATGCTGGCGAGGAGGTGTACATGGGTTGTTGCAGACTGGTAGTCGCCAAGCGAGCCAGCATGATTCTCAGAGGGTGGAGTCGTTGATCTGTTGTTCCAAAAGTGCCAGCCGCCAGTCTCCTCTTCATCCATTTCCATCCTCCTCCAGCTCGAGGAAAAGGACCGTCAACGAGGAGTTGGGCGCGGATGCGGATGCTGATGCTGCTGATGTTGGCGGTGGCCGTGGCCGTGGCCGTGGCCGTGGGCTGGCATGCCCTGGGGAATAGCGTCGCGGAAGACGGGAGGCCGTGAACGAACAGTACTTCTCGCTTGGGACCCTTGATTATCACGTTATCCTCCAGACTCGGCAACCAGTCCAGAAAAAGGTCCTTGCGGATACTCTGGACTACGGTACCAGCAGGTAGGAAACAGGCTGATGGTCAAGCCCCAAAGTCTTGAGGGCGTCACTCCCATGACCGACTGGCGGTGACGATGCCGGACGCATACGGGGTGTAGAAGTAGAAGATATATATTGCTCCGTACGGAGACTTCGTAGAATGCCTCTCCCCATGGTATTGACCGACAGGCGGTCGAGGTGGCGTTTTGCCTCTCCCGTTACTACCACTGTTGACTCGAGTAATCGCTAGAACTGGTAGAAACGCTCAATGGAGTCTTACTTCAAAGTACGAAGCACGAACTCCTTCATAAAGTAAACATTCAACTCAAAATTCAGACCAAAGCAAAGTTCCCCGACACCGCCAAACCCGTCACTAGTTTGGTCCCTAAATTCCGAGAGATGGCATGGCATGGCATGCCTTGTCGAACAGGTGGTGCAGCTTGCGCTACGGGCACAACGCACTCCGTGAACGTGTAGCCCTGCCCCGGAAACTAAATTCATCATCCAGGCGAGCGAGCGAACGAGTGAGGTGGCTAGGCTAGTCAGAGCAGGCAAGCACTTGCACCCTCGCTGCAAGACAACTCGAGAAGTGGTGAAAGGCGAGCGTTGAGTAGTTGCCGAAGTTGGTGCCAATGGATTGAGGGGATGTCCCGTAGTAGCTTTCTTCCCGCACAACTACACGTTCTTGCCATGTCTCCGCTGCAGGAAGATACTGATACACTGCTGCGATGCTGTGGATTGCACAATTGATAGACTGCTATCGTGCTGCATGCTGCGCTCCACTGCAATCCGCTTGGTAACTTTGCGGCGGTTGTTGGTTAATTTAATTGGTGTGTAGTGGCCCCCAGCTGCAAAATGGATGCAAAGAGATGTCTTCGGCGTATCTTTCAATGCTCGTGGACAGATGGATAGATAGAGAAGACGGTGCGTCACAATCCTCCGCAGACTTGTCAGCGCCGTGGCGTTGTTCCAAGTCTTGCATTGGCGGGTTCTCACTCAGGGGTGACAGCCACCCCAATTATCTGGTTCACAGGGCTCATACTTCGTAATTAATGGGGACGGACGCTAATCAGAGAGCCATGATATCCTGAATTGGAACGACTCGGCTCACCAAGACTGGGGAAGGTTTGCTGACAGCCGTTGCTTTTGTTTGGATGGGCCCTTCATCCGTACTCTGTCAAGTAAAGCGTGAAACTAGTAATTGATTCTCCTCATCCTAGCCCTGCATAAATGATCCGCTTTTGCCTTTCCGGTGCCCTTGTCGACATTTCAACAAACTCCCACCCTGCAGGGTTTCCTCGTGTGCAGCTTCTGGAATGACTGAATTCCATCCCAGAGCCCACGAGTTCCCCGGGTCAGCCCATGCTACCTTTATATATGAGATCAGTTTGAATCTCTTCTTCCCCTTAATATCTAGAGGGCTCTGACTATCGACGAAACATCTGAAAGTAAACGCAGCTTCCTCTTCCAGGTTGGTGTCGAACAGGCGCCTCCACTCCGAGATATGACTGCGAATGCAATGCAATGCTTCGCCAGCTACCCAGCCTGAATTTGACATCAATGCGAACCCTCAATTGCTCCCATGTCAGCCCAGAAAAGAAGTGACTTGACCGTTTCGCAGGATTCTGAATATCCACATTTCAACCCGCGCTGTCCACAGCGCTGGTGTCTGCTGAGCGGCAGCAAGATGAGCTGCAGGAGTGGTCCGCTGGTGCACTGTTGTTTAGCAAAGTCTTGGGTCCAGATGTGGAGGTCAGCTCCGTCTGGAACTTCCAGAACTCTATGCGGGGACCTCCTGTTAAGGAAGTTCCCCCGAGTTTGGCCCTGGATTCGTATACGAACTGTGGGAACGATTTCAAATTTTCTGGCAAGAGGATGAATTGCGTAATCAGAAATTCAACCTAATCCCTCCTGTACCTCAAAAGATTTGCCCATGAGTACGAAATAGACATCTAAACCAACCCCCACGCGTCGTAAATTCCGTATCGTAATCTCCAATCGATTACGCCAGTCATTCAATCTCGCTAGTACGCGTCCTTAAGCGATACGTAGCGGCACAAAAAGCATGTTGACCTGGCACAAATGCCCGGAATGGCATCATATGACAGATATGATGTTGATCCAAGCTTAAAAAGCCAAATCCATTCGAAACGCATCCCGATGATCTCAGATACCCGTGAAGACCACTCCATGGCACTGGGTCTGGAGGAATTCACAGATCCTGCAGTCAAAACCGGTACAGATCAAACTTGATATGTGCTTTTTCTCTTAGCTCGATCGAGATGTCTGGTATGTCGGAATGAAGGAGATGATGAGCAGCAGATTGAAAAGCTATCAATGTGTAAATATTGTGGTTCTGATTTCGTGGCAGAGAGGCGAGATCGCCGAGGTGGCCATCATTGCCTCCAATCTCCTCCATATATGGAGTCCACGATTCTCCACAATGGATCTTCTGTTTGGAAGTTGACCTGATCTTCCAAGATATGTCCTAATGAAGTATTTCCGCACATCGTACCTTTTCGCGGCAAAGCTGACTATTTCAAGCGGGGCTGGTGGGTATAGGCGCCTACGCCGTGAAAGATGGATTGAGGCTGCAAGAAAGACATATCTCTCAAGTGGCAAGAAGCAAGAAACGTCAAAGTACGAAGTACAAGTATATCGATCTCCACAATGAACACAAAAACTTGTCTTTCTTCAGCATCAATCCGCGAGGTTAGATAGTCGAAGACAACTCATTGCTTTATTCACAGATCGCCGGATGTATGGACGTGGAACGTTTATCGGGGCATAGGTTGCGGTGGGATCAGATTTTCCAGCGTCTCGCAAGAACAAACCTGCTCGCTCAGTACTCGTAGACCAATTCGTTATAAATGTCGAAGTAGAAAAAGGATAGCACGCACTTCGTGTAACGACAACACAATCCAACTGTTGGTATGTTTGCCATGCTGAGCTGAAAATCCCCACAGCCTTAGACCCAGGTCAGGAACATAAGGCCTTGTCAATCAACATTAGCCGGTAATTGCATTTACGAAATGTGTGTTTGGCCCAGGTACTCAGCATGTATGAATGCTCGCCAACGTCAAAGCCCCGAAGTGCTCAACACGTCCAAGGCATTTGTGATATGCGCATCCCGGTATTAAATCTTGCGCGTTCCCAGCGTTCTGAACGTTCAAAACAACTTTTCATCCACGTCATTCTAGAGTCAATCCCAAGGTACTGAACGAGACTAGAGCTACAATAGTCCCCGGCTTCCCGAAAACAGTGGCTCGGGCTGGATCTCATTGCGAAAAGACAACCGTAAAGGGTTCAAGAGCTTGAAATCACTTGTTTCTGCCACCAACATTTTGACGACGGAGAGTAGTCATCTCGCATCGGTCGTCAATCGCCCGATTGGGAGAACAGTCCACTTTGAGGCCCAGCAGCGGTCGTACAAGACCACAAGGAGTAAATAATTGCCTTCTGGGTCCAAATAAGTTATTTTGCCTTGCAAAACAAAACACAGCCGAAAACCGGCGAAAAAGTGCAACATTGCCTCATCCGCGCCTCCAGAGCCGAAACGTATTAAAAAAAGCATTCGCAAAGTGAACCCCGAGTTGGAAAGCAGATCGAGATGACCCGAGCCGCTTTTTCAAAATTATAGCCAACAAAATGATATGAGGCGGGTGCAAGTATGCGATGGTTGGAATGATTGGTCTCCCACGTTTCTTTTGTGAGCCCTGCCCTGCCGAATAATCATCCCAAGCAGATTTTGGCGAATGCGTGGTGATCCTGGCGCCTGCAGCTACTCTGTACCGCATATTCTGCATATCCTCGATAACGGACGTGCAGTAGGGAGTGACTGCAGTTGGTATCAGTCATGTGGCTGGGCCTGGCAAATACGTGTCGTAATCAAACTCCCCCAGAGAGATCACCACGCCGCAGAAACATATCCACCAGCCCCAAACAATATCAAGAGAATGCATGAAACCCGCTCTGGAAAACAACCTTATTTAATTCGCCTCAATTAGCGTTTGATAGGCGAATACTACGCTGATCCTGTCTTGTGCTTGGCTCCGAAAATAACTTGTTCGTAGGATCAGCAACCTCATTCTGTGGCGGGGAGAGAAGGAAAGAAACCTCTGTAATTCTGATGCTGATGTCACTCGGAAGATTCATTCAATGGGGTGCAGGTAAGCTCTCGTGGCTCTGTACATGGCCTATCTTCACCGTGACGGCCCAATCACACTGAATGAAGTGTATGCTTATGCGTATGCCTCGGTCATTTGGGTACTTGACATAAGTACCGAACAGCGGTCTGCCGGCTTCCTCTTCGAAACCGGAGGTACAGATAAGTTTGCAGAAGGCGTCCTATTCACGCACTCCAGAGCTTTGAAGTGGACAGTTTCGAGGTGATGAGATAGCGCTTAAGCGGTGACCTGTATGCATGCAGGTGTGATGATGATACGGAGACGGAAGAGACGGAGTTTTGATGAACCTTGACTGCGTGAAGGCATTCGTAGATGCTTCCCCACACTGAGGGGCAAAGAAATGCACGCCCACGACGCCGTAAGTGCGGTGAGAAGTGCTCTGTCAGCGGTCAACGTTTTGAACTTCTGCGTTGTTCCAATACGAGGTTGCAATGAATTTTTGGAGGGACTGGAATGTCACGAAGTAGCATTTTTGAGAACTTCTGATTTGGTGTGAGGGGTGACGATGTCTCTATTGTTTCAAGCAGGGCCTTATCACTCTGGGCGGTCGTTGGTGGTGTGTGGTGCTGCAATGCTGCATGCAGGAACATCCAAAATTTGGCCTTGCATCCAAGCTCAACAGGATCCAGTTTTCGAGGGGGTTGCACAGCGTCATACAAATACATGTCCGGCAGTTCCAAAAAGCCTTTGCCTACTACGATCTCATCGCAAGTTGCCATGTTAAGCAGCCGTTGTGATGGCATTTCTGTAACAGACAAACACAGCGGAAACCATAATTTTCCCCCGCTGCGGCGTTGTCTGCTCTGCTCCGTCCGTTCAGTTGATAAGGTTTGAACTTTATATCAAGGAAACAAACTGTCAAGACGCCGACGCTCTCCAGGATGAACTCAACAGGGCCACTCCCCGTATCTTACCCCAGACTCCTGAGTTCAGGTGAACGTCCAAGATACGAAGGGGATCCCAAGTATAACGACGGTCCGTGGAATGGGCCCTATTGTGTTCCCTGGTGCACTGGCATGCAGCATACGCATACGCGGCTCGTTATTGAAGAGCCAAGGTGGGATGATGTAGATGAGGGATCCGAGGAGGGGTAACTACTAAGTATCATCAATCTGAAATGGAAATGGTTACTCAATGCGAGGAAAGACCCGGATAGGACGGACGGCTTCATGAGGAGAGAAGTGAACGAATACTCATAACCACCATTGAAATTCACCAGAACTCCAGGAACTTCGGCGTACAAGTACTTCGTAGAATATACGAAGTATGCTCAGCACGAAAGGAGCGATGCACGCCATATGGCAAGACCCCGATTCGATGCTGCCACGGCTTGGAATGTCCGTTGGTGCTTCGCGGAAGATGGTTCTTGCATCCAATAGTGGAGTGCAGAAACAAGCTTCGAATTCATCAACAGGCAAAACTCTCTGAAAATACCCGCAACAACATCCACACGAGAAGACCACATCTCAGGAGCCGAGCTTCGCATCGCATCGCATCGCCTCCAAGAACTACTGGGAGAGCGTCGACGAGCAATGTATAACGTAGAACAAATCAATCAATCGAGTCAAGGGAGTCCGGCCCGTAAACCGAACGTTGCAGAATCGCGAACGACTTCGATTCACCATATAGCGCGAGAGCTCCTCGTGGCCTCCTAGACGTGATGCTTTCCTGGCTGTCGGTTATGATATCTTCTTGACCGCCCAATTCGCATCGACGTTGCTCTGCGATTTGAATGTATATGGTCGAGCGTTCTCGTGGTTGGAGTTTGTGAAGAAGTCTCGAGGTCTGAAAGACCCTCCCCATCCTACCTCATATCTGCGCGGGCCTCGCTTCCGGCAGGCGCCACCAACACCGACCACGATGTCCTCAACCCCCACCAAAGAACACCACAAAGCAAAATCTTGGTACACTTGGCTGCTTTCATTGCTCCCAACTACCAAAAATTCTCCAAAATCCTTCTCCGCCATGCCACACATCCAAAAATGGACGGTCACGGAGCCATATCTTAATATTCACTGTGGTTTGGGTGAGGGGCCATACTACGAGACCGTGCGGAAAACCCTTCGCTTCGTCGATATCAAAAACAAACGCCTCCATACTGTAGATCTGGGTATTGGCCCAGAGAGTTTAAAGACTTTGCAGTTTGACGTTTCAATTGGCATCACGGCTGATATTGAGGGGGTTGACTCGAGTGAGAAGATTGTTGTGGGTGGCAAGAGTGGGATTTATCTTTTGGAGAGGAAGACGGGCACATTAGAGTTGTTGAGGAAGTTTCATGAGGATGAAGAGAAGAGTGAGAGAATCCGAAGTAATGATGGCGCTGTTGATCCTGCTGGGAGGTTTTGGGTTGGTGCTATGAATGATTTTTGGGTTGGGCCGCCCAAGGATGAAGGTTGGTGACTTCTTTTGCTGTCTTTGGCAATGTCCTCTTCAATATTATTATACCTCAGCCCATTCCTTCTCATGTTCTGACTGTTTCGACATTTTCACCCAAAATATGAGGATCTGGAAATTCTGATTGACCTTAACAAGGTACTCTATATCGTTTTCACGGCGACAAAACTCTCCATCCCATCCGCGACTCTCTCACAATTCCCAACGGTCTCGGCTGGTCAAAAGACCTCAAAACAATGTACTTCACCCACTCAACCGAAAAGCGAATCCTAGCATTCGACTACGACGTCACAACCGGAGATATTACCAACGAACGTACATTCTGGCAACACGACGGTAACGGCGACCCCGATGGATTCGTCATGGACGTAGAGGGTTATTTCTGGCAAGCAATCTATGGCGAAAGTCGAGTTTTGAAAATATCTCCAGAGGGTAAGGTAGTTGGTGAGATTAAATATCCAACCAGAGCTATTACTTGTCCTGTGTTTGTTGGGACGGAATTGTGGGTTACGAGTGCCGATGAGGAAGATCAGAGTGAGGTTGAGAGTAAGAAATATGGGGGTGGAGTTTTCAGGGTCGATGTTGGGGTTAGAGGGAAGGAGGAGTTTAAGTTTAAAATAGGTTAGCGGTAAGAGATGGAGAAAGATTTTGTTCGAGTAACAATATAGCTTGAAAAATAGGGTATACAGGAGGAGAAAATGCAGATATATTCCCAGAAACCTGAGAGAATATAGACCTAAAAAGGGTCCGGCCATTTTTGAATTTGGATTAACATCAAAAGCATGAGTAGATGTATTAACAGATAACCTTCCTTCTCAAGCATACTTCAGTGAATCAGCACTTCTAAAATGTGTAATCTGTTTTATCTCAACAATTACCAATTCTGTACGGTCATCAGAATTTCCATCTACAGTACTGCATCAATAAATTACCCATTGTTCCTAAACGACATTATCAACGCATCACAAAATACTTGCACATATAAAATTAAGGCAGCTCTCAGACGTCAAAAAAATTCTCAAGATGATCATGTACACCTGGTAAAGCCCAGAGAAGGATAAGGAAAACATCTTCTCCATACTGCCTAGAATCCTCAACATTTCCCACTTGCAGTGAGACTTTTTGCAACATTACACTGATGAGGACGTGGGAATCAAGTGATATCTTGCTAAAAGCAACATAAGTCTTAGAATTCGATAAGAGGGAAGGAACTGACATGTTTTAATGTCTACTCCTCCTTACTCTTTACATCTTGTAGAGAATTCCAAGGATTATGATGTGGAGAGAATTGAATGGAAATGTTGATAAGAATATCAGAGCAAGATAGTATAATACTTGTTATTGTTTCTGAAAAGAACGCTTGTAATATGTTGAGTAGAAGGGGTTAACACCCACCTCTCACAACATAGTATCGTATCATAATAGAGAATACATCGATAAAGACGTAAGAGCAGATCTAGGACTAGCTGTGGATGATAACTCTCCAGTTGTATTTTGATGTTATTCCTATTGTCGATAAGTGTCTCCTTGTATGTTCTTGCGTTTTCATGTCATGTCAACATCTATTTACCCGTCCGAGGTGTAGAACTTCCACGTTCCTCGCATTCAAATATGGAACATTCACGTACGAGTATAAGTAAAAGACGAACCCAGAAGCGCCATATTCTGTTGCACGTCACAATATTTTGAGTTGATATTGACCTGATTGTAGAATTTCATCAACGGGATATAGCACGTGACTCTGCTACACTCAACTTCGATCTCAAAGTTGGGGGTAAATGGGGGGAGGGGGACGAGAGAACGGGATATGAGGATTTAGAGATGTGTAAGAGTAGAGGGATATCTGAGTGTTGTAAAATTCCTTAAGAATAAAGTTACTTCTACTTGTATACCAGGTTGAAAGCTTCTTCATCCCTCATTACCATTATGTTTGCACGGTTTTCTTGTGTCAGATGTTGAAAGTAATTCAGCGTGAACTTTCTTTGAGAACCATCTTTTGCTGCCAGATTCCTGTTTTCAGTTAGACTAACCTCTTCAAACGTTAGAATGCTTCTCATCTTTCGCTGAGGAAATTTGGCCTCGATCCACATATTTAAATACTAACTGATGATTAGAGGAAGCTTTTATTTCAAAGAGGGAAGTCCAGTGAGAGTGATTAAGCTGCACCAATCATCGCTTGCTTTTCGCTGCTTTCGTTTCTGTTTTTGTTATATTTATCTCTGCAAGCGAGACAGAAATTTCTGGGAGCTTTGCGCATTATTCTGTTTCAGATGCCATCTTTGCGAACATCCATAAATGGAACAAGGTTTATCTGCCATCTGAAGGTCAAGAGATGCCGTTGGGTTCCCTATATTATAAATGATAAACTGTGAAAGATGTCAGTTTCAAGGTATCAACATCTAGGAAAAGATGTTGAAGTTGAGTAGGTGCCATTACCTAAGTAGACTCTACTCTCTTTGAAGGTTGTTAGTAACATATACTACAGCAGTTGTAGGGTGAAGGGGCCCATGTTGTTCTTGCTGCAAATGAGTTGGGAAGACACTTGATTTCTAAGCAGTCCAGACATAGTATATAAAGAGCATTCAATTACTTGTGTGAGTATCATTTTATAAGACGCCACAAATATTGTCTGTTCAGAAATTCTGAGGCGTAGAACAAATCATGCATGATGATGAAGAAATCTCATTCCAGCACTCTATAAGAACTTCTAAATACTCCCTAATCTTTATCATGAATGTGATATTAAATAGCAAGAATTCATTTTTGTGTCATACTGTTGGTTTGACTTATTCATTCAAGTGGGTGATGTAAAAGACCTATATTACTATGGTAATAACTAGGTCCGATGTTGTATGCCAAAGCAAGTGTAGCTAGCTAAGTCCCTACGTACTTATAGATGGCATAGTACGCTAGTAGCGCACGCCAATCCTGAAGGAGCAGCTACGCTGGGAGCTAGCTAATAATCATTCACTATTATAAACCGACACATACCAAACGGATGCCTCTCCAAAATTCAAATCTGGCAATCCTCGTTTTGACACCAACTAGGTCCACCAGATGCTTACTTCACAGATGACCTTTCTCCTACGCTATCTATGTAAAGAATCTGCTCTTAAAAACTGCTGCGTATTGAGACTAAGAGACTTTATCTAAATACCTGTCATCCAATTAGAATAACAGGGCAAAGGAGTTCGCTTAATTCCAACCATACAGTTTTTCCGGTAGCAGCTATAAATTCTTGATATGCCATTTGCAAGATAATCTTAGGCTCAACACACCAGTCGCCTCCGATTATCTCTGAGTATCTAGCAGAGGTTTCAGTCAGCTTTTATAATATACCATCTCTTGCCAGGATTTCTAGGGTGGCCAGCGTTCGAAATTCAAGTAGTTAAGTTGAGTAGTGGCATCTAATCAACTCAACTCAAGTAGTCAAAATGGCTATTCAACTCAACTCGCCAAGTAATTGAATAACCTAAGTACTAATTGAGTAGGGTTGAGTGGCTGATTAATTTGTTCGAACGCTACAGGGTGGCGCATTAGCAGTTCCGAAGTCAATTGGAAATATCAGAAGACATTAATTCGTAGATGGAAGAAAGTCTGAGTCAACCACACATAATAAATTTCTCGTGGAGCCGAATACTGAGAGTCTGACGCGTCAGCTCAGTGATACACCTAGGTTGGTTAAGTCCGTGACACTGGATATCCTAGGAAAAAGGCAAAACAGATCCCCATATTTACCGACAGTAGGCAGGATGCAGTCGAAGTCGCTGCGTTCCGTTTTCTTAATCCTAGAATACCTATATTCTTATGGGCCTCGAATTCTGCTCGTCTAGATTCCTTCAAAATTTCAAGGTGAGACAGAATCCATCTCGCAAGCTCGCATATTACATCCATTTACGCCACACACAGGGTGTACACCTGCGCCTTTCATCCTCTGCCCAGCCGCTTCCTCATGGTGACATAAGTTCTAAGACCTAGCCACATTTTTTTGGAAAAGAAGGATGGCTTTGCTAGATATAAATAACTATCTCGAAACGCCCATTCTACTACGTACAAACTTTTGGTGTGTGCTGGGCGTATTAGGCTGCGAAATGAAACGACCCAGGCACGTGCCAGACAACAAAAGAGTGGGCACCAAAATGCGCTGGATACTTCGTACAGCTAAGCTTCCTGTATTTACGTAGACCGCTTGCCCAAGAATTATTTACGTGACCGACTTGACTTCTGGATGGTATTGTAGTGTTGTTAGAACTCGCTACTCTCCAGCTGCAATATTTCCACGCCTATCGCATTCAAAAACCGACGATGTAATTAAATCTTCAATACCGAGGTAAAGGCTTCTTGGGCTTTTTGGCTTTGACACAAGCCACATTTTACGGAAGCCAAAGTCGTAAAGATGTCTTCCCCTCAGCCTTGGCCTTGGAAGCGGAATTTATTCCTGAAAGTACAGATCACTTTTTGGAATTTGGAAATCGATTTACGAAGTATCAAAATCTGGTTAACCCGGCAGTGAGAGCGCATTGGTGTTGCGGGTAGATCATCCCAAATGAACTAATCGGAGCGAAATAAGGTTATTTATTACGCGAGAAGAGTGGAGGGCAGGGGCTAGTGGGGGTATTTCAGCTAAACTGCGTTCCAGGCATACCTAGGTAATAAACGTTAAATTTTAATGGGTTCCCATGGGATTTTTTGAGTTGAACACAGGGTATAATCACCACTATTTTATCGTTTGTAATGCCTGGTCCGAAGCAAAGACACCGGACAGGTCGCGTCGTCATCCCCCCTGCAAGCGAAGTGTTTTAGGAAGGGTATAACCACAAGACATTAAGCCAATTGGATTGTCCAATTGATGTGGAGGTATAGTAGAAATTGACAAGGGGTGGCGATCCAAGCTGCCCAGTCCCGGTATTCATGAGGATCCATTTCGCTTCTCCAGTAAACAATTTGTTTGTCACGAGGAATTTAAACTCTAAATAAATGACAGAGGCAATTAAGGGGCATGACATCCTTCGAAAGGATTGGGATTGGTGATGTACCTGGCTGGCTGTTGCGTACGGCTTACGAGACCAGGGTCGCAGGTACAGAATCCTGCGGGGCAGGATCTCGTGCTGTATTTCATGATCTCTATAAGTGAAGTATCTGCCCCTTCCTGGGTAGGATCAGCCCTTTTGGTTTCCTCCACCGTTCCTTTTCAAACATCACTGTCATTACAAATTTGCACATTCTTTTGTAGCATCAACTCGCATCTAAAGACCCAATTCCCCCTTTCCGCGAAATTATACGAGATCTATACGTCCCCAACTTTAAGAAGACATCATTCATCATGCAAATCACCAACCTTTTTACGCTGGCCCTTGGCGCCACCCTCGTAGCAGCAGCTCCAGTGGCCCAAGAAAATGAAGTCACGAAAAGATCATCGGATCCAACTTTCATCAAAGACATGCTTGCCTACCACAACTTCTTCCGCAAACAACACGGAGCCAAGGATCTGGTTTGGGATCAAAAGCTCGCAGATTTTGGTCAAAAAGACACAGACAAATGTGCTCAAAAACACTCGGTAAGCTCCGGTCTTGTTCTGTTCTCCACGTTTCTCTTGTCTCGTGGCTATTTTCTAACGCTTTCTTCAGAATGGACCATACGGTGAGAACAAGGCATGGGGAACAGTCCTAGATACCAAAACCGCTGTCAATATGTGGGGAAGCGAACGCACCAAGTTCAACTTCAACAATGGGGGCTTCAGCATGGCGACTGGTCATTTTACACAGGTTGTTTGGAAGGAGACAACCAAAGTTGGATGTGGACTTACCAAGTGTGGTGGCTCTATTGGAAACTTGATTACGTGCGAGTATGAAGCTTTTGGAAACTTGGAAGGAGCGTACAGAAAGCAGATAGGTACGATAATTGCACCTGCGAAGTTGACCGATAAGATCGCTTAGGGAGCAGATCTATGATATGTAACGATCGAACGAAATAACGCTTTGATTATTTCTTATTTTTGTAAATAAACGTTCACTTCTTTCAGACAAGACTTCTCTTTTGAGGACAGAATTCCAGCCTTGGAGCTTTCAAACTAAGTGCTATCTCCTGCACCGTTCTGGCTAAAGTTTGACCATGATTAAGCACTCTCGCGTAAAATTGTTATGATGCATAATTATGGGTCTATTCTGACACCTTGGCGCTGCTCGTATCCTGTTGATTATTAGCGGCAGAGTGTGCATCACGTAAGATTACTTTCGGAATCTATATTTTACATATGAACTTTTGTCAGAAACCTCTTCTTTTAACCTAGATGTCAGTGAAAGGCGACGGGTCCCAGATAATATCCTGAAAACTTAGGGAAATATATTGAATCGAGTCTTCACAGTCAAAATCCCTGTAGTTTCTTAATCTACAACTTTCTCCCAATGAACCGCCTTACTCTGTAGATTCACCGTAACCCCTAGCTCACGTTTTGATAGAAGCAAACGTGTCTACATACTCCCACCAGTCTCTATGGCGATGCAATTGCTTCTGAAGAATTGATAACAATCTCTACACCGGCACTAAATCCCTTGTCGAGAACCGAGGTCCGACTGTCTTTCAGAAGTGAATCGGCACTAGATAACGACCAATAACATACTCATGTTTTAGAGAGCTTGCGTGAGAGCACCATTAGGCCTTTGCAAGTGTATAATCGGTCCCCAGAAGCGAAGATGAGCGTAAATGGTAAACACCAGCATTAATACTTGGTGTCGTAAGCCCACTGAATGGTTTTTGTACAGCCATATTCCTAACTCGCGTTAAAAACGTGATTTTTAAGAATACTAAAAAAGGTATATGTGCCTAGGACTCTACTAACCTATTATTTATCCCTACTATCGATAACTCTATAACTATATACTAGAACGTTATAATATAACCTAAATATCTACTTTAATATATATATATAACTTGTTAATCTAAGCGCTAGGTAGGTAGAGCCGTTGTAGATATAAAAAGTCCGAAGAGGCGTTATTAAAGAAGGCGTAACTTAGGAGCTACTATTACTATAAAACAACTACTTATACTACGTAAAATTAAGGCCTTAAAGCGCTCGAAAATATCGAAAGAAGCTCCTTTAAAAGATCCTATACCTCTAATTAAAATTACTAGTAATCTAGTTAGTTTAGTTAATTTAGTTATTCTAGAAACTATAAAGAAGCCTACCCGAGAATAAGTTATAGAGGCCCCGAAAGTAATATTTAAATCTATATATACTAAAGAGCTATGTCACAAATCACGTGCTAGCACGTGAGGAGTTAGTCCAGACGGGGTTCTGACAGGACAAACACATCATGGCTCTTATAGCAAAAAGGGATCGCTTAGGTTAGTTAAGCGATCCAGGGATTTCTTTGTATATAAGTCACGTGATATATGCAGGTCGACTATGTCGACTTCAGGAACACGAAGGTTCTATATAAGACTGGCACGTCTGCCATTAGATAGGAGCTTCGTGCTCAACTTAGTTATCAATCTTATCATATTAGTTTGACATCTTTGATACAAGTAACGAGTTCACTTCCAAGTGAACAACCCGATAGTCTTCTTCTTATCATAGCATACCAACCAGCGAACACCCAGCCAAGTTTAGTTAGCCAGTTTGAGTATTCGTTACAAGCTACTACTAGTATTTAACTCTTAGGATCTCTAAGATATTTTATAGTATACTATAATTATATTTACTATATTTATGAATAGTAAGGAAAAAGAATCGCTACTATATAATTATAATATTGATAACCTATTTTATAAGCACTATAATAGATTTATTAAACTTATCTAAGACTAATTCCTAAAAGACTAAGTAAATAAAAGAGGTATCTTTTACTCTAAGTGTTTCATTTAGGTAATAATTACCTTACTTACTAATAGACTTTAGGTTTAAACCTTAGTCTGTTCTCGCTTATTCTAGAACGTTCGATCACGTGAACCGAAACATTCTAGTATCCCTTTCTATTTATAAGCACTTCTATTCTATTTATAATCTATAGAACCTCCTAGAATCTATCTAAGGAGTATATATAGACCTTTACTGTCCTTATAGTTAGAAAAATCAAGTCATTTTCACAAGTCAAATTCTTACTCTTTTGATTCACGATGTACCTAACAGTCATCTGACCATCCTACTTCCACTGTCTTATATACACTCTGTATATAACCGATACCTCTTACACTTCTTAGTCTGTTCTCGCTTATTCTAGAACGTTCGATCACGTGAACCGAAACATTCTAGTATCCCTTTCTATTTATAAGCACTTCTATTCTATTTATAATCTATAGAACCTCCTAGAATCTATCTAAGGAGTATATATAGACCTTTACTGTCCTTATAGTTAGAAAAATCAAGTCATTTTCACAAGTCAAATTCTTACTCTTTTGATTCACGATGTACCTAACAGTCATCTGACCATCCTACTTCCACTGTCTTATATACACTCTGTATATAACCGATACCTCTTACACTAAGTAGCCTATAGCTTAGGATTAGTATATAATAATAGGAACTAGGAATAGTATCTTATATATTTAAGTATCTAATTAAACCTTCTAGGGACGAATCGAGATAATATTATACTAGTACTATTATCTAAGTAAAAAAAGTATTGTATATTTCGTATACCTTTAAAGCTATTTTAAATACCTTAATTATAAACCTATACTAGTTCTAGCCAAAAATTAAGGTAAAAAGAAGACCGCGAATATATATAAAATATAATAAATACTAATATAAGTAATATAAATTAATAATTTAAGCTATTTTATAGAATTAAATTTAAATGGTAAAAATAATCCTTAAGATAATAAAGATAATAATAAAACTCTTACTTAAGAGTTAACTATAATATACTAGTTAAAGGATAAGAGATTAAAGAATAAAAGGCTTATAAAAGTAAACGAATTAGAATTAATTTAAAAGACTCTTTTTAGTAAGTACGTCTACGCTAATTCTTACTATACTTATCTAATAAAAGTATATTATATTCTTAAAAATCGAAAGAGCTACTACGCCCTTAATATAAGTAATATAAACACCTAGGCGGATTATATTCTTATAGGAAAACTAGAAGTCTCTTTAGATACTCTAGCTCTCGAATAGCTCTAGGACTTTTAAAAGAGTAATAAGGAAGTATTTTAAAAGAAGATAGTATATAAAATTATACTGAAAGTCGAGCTAAAAAAAGCTATTTCTACCTAGGTATAAGCTTCGATTATAGTTTATAATTACCCTTAACCTATAATATAAAATCCCTCTTAATTATACGAACCCCTACTACCTTAGGTATATAGTAGGAATCCGTTCTATAACTAGTATAGAATATATAGTAAAACTACTTTATAAAGAGACCGAAAAGAGCTAGTCGCCGCCTTATAGTTCTCCCTACTTCGAGCCTCGAATATAGATAATATAATAAAAAGCTTAAAAGGCTTTCTACTTAAAGGTATAAATAACCTAGGTAAGGCCGAGGTAATCTAAGCTACGATTAAATAGATTAAAGAGGAGTATACAACTATTAATTAACTTCGATAGTCTTACATAGTTAAGTCTTTAGTATAAGCTAGTAGAATAAAGAGGGGTATTACTACCTTAATTAAAGACTCGCTCTCTAAGTTTAAGATAGCGTATAAGGATTAATTAAAGGCTTAATAAGAACTTATATAATTAGTATAATTTTTATTTTTATTAAAATAATAATCGAAGTATATAATTAATAGTAGGAATAGTAGTAAAGGAGAAGGTAGTGTCACGGATGCCAACAAAGGATAAAGTGTATACAGCTTTTGAATCAATTGCTAGAACTAAAACCGTAGGTACGAAGAAATCAAACTAAAGAGAGAAGAGAATCTGAAAGGAGCGAAGTTATTTAAGTTGTTCCAATGGCAAGTCTCGTCACGTGCTTGGCCAAGCGAATGAAATCCTGTCAAATGAAATCCAGCTCCGTCACAGGTAGATATTTTAATAAGTATTAAATATAGTAAAGTTAAATAATTTAAGGTAAAAATATATATAACTTTTACCTATTTATAATTTTAATATAGTTTATATATATTATATTAGTAACTAACTATTAAAGACTTTTTTAATTGAAGAGAAATACATAATACTTTACTACTATTTAGAAAGGTTTATTATAAAAATATATTCCAACTTCTTTACCCCTATAAAAACTAGGCCTAAAAGTACTATAAAATATCTACTAATCTAACTATTCTTTATTACTAAATAATACTAAGGTATTACTAAAGTAAGCCTTATATCACGAATCACGTGTGAGCACGTGACGAGTGAAGACCAGGCGGCGCCTTGACAGGTTAAGCACTATCATATCTCTTATAGCAAATAGGGATCGTTTAGACTAGCTAAGCGATCCATGGATTTCATTGTATTGTAATCACGTGGCCAAGCGACTGTCGCTCTGAGCGACAGGCGGTTGAGTCGCTCCACAGTTTAACAAGAGAACGAAGGTTCTATATAAGACTGGCATGTCTGCCATTAGGTAGGAGCTTCGTGCTCAACTTAGTTTACACAGTTATCAATACCTTTTGACTTTGACAACTTTGTACAAGTGACGAGTTTGCTTCCAAGCAAACACACAGTGATATATTGTCTTCTCTCTTCGCATACCAACCTTCGAACTCGATACCTTCAGTTAGATACCGGTTTCGTCACACCTTAGCCCTTTTAGTAGTATCTAGATCTATTCTAGCCTCTATAACTACTTATCTAAGAAACTCTTAGTATAAATTAAAGTTCTTATACTTCCGCCTATAATACTATTAAATAAAGGCCTTTAAATTACTAAAACTCTCTTTAATTAGATTAAAATCTAGTTAATAAGAAGGGAGAAATTAAATAAGTACACTTTTATAAAAGTAAGCTCTTTTAATAAGTACACTTTTATAAAAGTAAGCTCTTTTAATAACGTTTATATTCGAGTAGTAAACTAAGGCGTTATCTATAATTATAACCGAATAA